GTGTCAATTACATCAGTAGAAACCAGGTAACAAAACCAGGTCATGAATGTTTGAACTAATTAAAAAATTTTTTTTTTTTGTAAGATTTGTTTTGAGCAAATTTAAACGAATAAAACTAATCAAGTTTGTGTGCAATTTTTTTTGAGTGACTTTTTACATTAAATTTGAATCACTGTAGTTTATTTTAGTGAATCAATTAAAATACATTTCAATAATAATTATTCATGAAAACTTTTGACTTTTTTTCTTTTTCTATTATCACTTACCAGTTTTCTAAAAAACTTTACTTGAAAATGTATTAAAATCGTTTGACAATTGTAAAGCTATATTGCCCCACTGTGCGACATATCTTTTAAAAGATAGGGATTCCACACAGAAGGGGGATAGGGATTCCACACAGAGGTACAAGATTCTATAATAGATCAAATATAAACTTTGTAGGCTTTGATCAGAAGCTGGGAATTGTTACTGATAAAGGATTTTAAAAATACGAAGATACTATCAGGCTTGGTCGGGAAGCGGGTGCGATCGCACTCGATAATTGACCATGGAAATTATATTTACTTGCGAAAAGCCGGCCAGGTATTTCAGGCGTTTTGAGAACATTTCAATTTATGTATGTTTCCTTGTTTGTCCGCAAAATAATAAGTTCATTTTATCGTAAATTTATAAGATTTTTTTTTACGGACGTACATGGAAACTTATATAAACTTGAATGTTGTCAAACGTCTTAGTGCGGAAAAATAAATAAAGAACATTCGCGAACACAAAAAACCCGCCAAATTTACGAACAACTAATTCTATTAGTTCAATTAATAAATAACTGAAATTACTACGCGACTGTTCTAGAGTATTCTGTTGAATTATTTTTCAAAATCTTTTTTTTTTGTTTTTGTTTTTGTTTTTGTTTTCGTTGAGAATTCTAGCATCAATTGTTTTAAGAATATACTATCAAACGAACAATTATTTTAATACAATGGCTCATTCTCGGAGTCACATCCATAAAGCTATAAATGTTTTAAACTAACATTTGTTTACAAAAATAAATGTTTTAAATTTATATTTTTTAACTTGTCAGCGTTTTGTAAATATATTACAGATTTAATTAGTATAATCTTATTTTTTATATATAAGGGATGTATTTATATGTATGTAATGTATTAGAAATTGGTTTATTAACTTCAATTATTTTTGCTTCAGCCATTCTTACAAACTCCGTTATACTTACACTTAAAGTTTTTTTTTTCTGTAAAATACTAGTTAAAGATATAAAGCCCACTCACTAAACATCATCAGCGATATTGTTAAGCAGTTCCGCTTCCTCCTTACAAAGTTATTTAACGTTTTTAGTTAATTTCTATTTAGCTAATTAAATTTCCACAGTAACTCAATGATTTAGTTATTTCATTTGTTCATCTTACTAAGAAGAATTGTTTCAAATATGTTAAACTTTTCAAACTACGCGAAGCATAAAACAGGTACTGAAAAAACTTTTTTTTTTATAATTAAATTATATAGCGTTAGTTTTATTGGTTTAATCTTGTTGGACTTTACAGGGCCGGGGGCTGCATTATTTTGGTGGCCTTTTTTATATGCGACAGCGTAAAAATGACTTAAAAATACCGATAGGTCCTCTTGACTATTTCTCGGCCCATAGCATAGTGTGTCCCGGGACTATAGCTCTTCTACCCCCCCCCCCCACCTCTTATTTCCAGCACTGGAAATAAGACATAAGTATATAAATAAAAATTATATATAATCTTTGATAAATTGAAGAACATTTGTTTCTTTATTAAACAATCATTATTAGTACGTTGTTACTATATACAAAAAATGTCGCTTTTTTAAAAAAAAAAAATTATAAAAGAGCGACGTTTCAAAAATATTTTGAAACTCTAATCGTATTTATTTTGCTTAAAGTTTTGCGTTAAAAGCTATTTTTTTTTTTTAACTGTCTCTCATCGGTCCAGTGTATCTTATTGGGCTTTTTTGCTTGTTTTTGAAATGTTCTCAAAACGCCTAAAAAATCTGGCCGGCTTTTCGCAACTAAATATAATTTCCGTGGTCAAATATCGAGTGCGATCGCACCCGCTTCCCGACCAAGCCTGTACTATACCAATATCTTGAATTGAATAATTAGATTTAATAGGTGTACCAACCTTTATTGAGTATGAACCTAATGGTAAAGAACTGTTTCCTTAGCATAGATAAAAACATTTTTTAATTGCTATATAAAGTTGCCAAACTTTATACACCAATTAAAAAATTGATCATTTTGAAAAAATTTTCAAGGTATTGATAAGGTGTATGTTGTTTCATTCATTGTTTGCTTGATATTACTTGCTTTCATCAGCAAACAATTTGATGATGCAATCACCATCAATAAGTGAAGTTACATTGTTTATAAAAACTAAAACTAATATGGTTCCCAAAACAGTCATTTTAGGTAATGCGCTCTTTACAAGAACTTTGTTTGAATACAAGTTACCGACGCAGACACATTGAGAATGATTTGTTAAAAAATTGGTAACCCAGTTTAGCAATTCATACTGGATATAAAGAAAATAATACTGAATATAAAGAAAATATTGTTAAAAAAACTAAATAGATATGACATCAGAATATATTTGCACCAATGCTTGGAGATTTGTATAAACTTAGCCAAAAATTGCAAAAAGTGTAACTTCAAAATATTGGTGCCAATACTTCTGACAAGAAAAAATCAAAAATAAGAAAATTTTTCATAAAAATATGACTTCTATGCCACTTATTAGCCACTCTGCATAAAATTTTTAATATTAGTTTTAACATTAGGAGAATTTTCTAGTAAAATACTGATAGCTCCAGATGATGTTTTATAGTAAGTGTAAAAAAAAATCATAAGAAAAAATTTATTCTGTAAAATGCACAGTCATCTATTTTCTCCAAGCTTTCTAAAACTCAAAAACATTTAATTTATAATAAAACTAAAAAACTACGACTGTTCTTGCATGGCCTTTATGCATCTTAACAGCTGTATGAGAATCCAAAGCTGATACTCCCACATTTGAAATTTCAATGACTGTTCTTCACCAATTACATCTTACTTTTTTAGAATTTGAATTACAAAATTTTACCAAGGAAGAATACTTTATTTGTATAGCAATTTTGTTTGAAAATGACAGTATTTGTTTTGGCATTATATTAGTTAAATATTATATTTTCTAAACAATTAGTAGGTGTTAATAATATTGACAATAATGTTAAACATAACATTTTTAGCATTTCATAAAACACATAACTATCAAATACAGCATAAATCAATTAAATTTCAGGACTTTTTATTGTTTTGAAGGACCACTAATTACCCGGTGAGAATTCATATGATCAATTTTTGCTAAATAAGTCTTTTTCTTGAAGACTTTCAAAATAATTTTTTTTAACCAAATACCTAAAAAAAGGTGGGGGTTACTACAGTAGAGGAAGGTACTCTTTTTTTATTGTTATTTATTGTTTTATTGTACTTTTTTATTTCTTCAACTTTTATTTCAAATCTATCCTAAAACTTTTAACTCTTCTTATCAGTTTGAAGAGTAATAAAGGTAATTCCATGTCAAATGACCAAGGTAGTGTCACCATACATCTCAGATTTTGCTAATTTTTATACAGTTGAGAGTGCTTAGTAAAAAAAGAATTCCTTGAAAATTTTAGCCTCTGGCCCCAAGAAGATCCTGAAATATGATTGTTTTACTTTTAGCAGATATTGCCCAACCCCCTTTTGTCCCCTCAGAATTGCAACATTTACTTGGAGGTTTCAAGTCACATACTTTTAAAAATATTTGATTTTTTTTAATTAAAAATTTGTGACTGGCTATTTTTGGGGGAGACGAATCCAATGAAATGATCAGAAGTGTAAAAAATTATTACTTAGTACCTGTAATTATCAATTTAAATAAATTTAGGCCATTTTTTATATACCTGTTTTTAATGCTCAAGAAACCCATATGGCCTTGATGATATCCAAAAAAAAGGATTACACGTTATTCTATATTCATTGATCTTTCAAAAAATATAAAGATTTTGATCTGCAAGTATATGGATTTCTATATATGGATAATGAGGTGCGGTCCCCACTTTTTTGTAGTGGAATATTGCAATTAATTTTTCACTACCTTCCAGACTAGCTAGAACTAAAACTTTGGCATTTCTGTAGTGCCAATAATTGTGCATGTTAAAATTGTTTTCAGGGCCCTAAGACATTGGGGTGACAGGGGTAAGTGACTGGGGTAAGTTTCAGAGCTTCAGATAAACTAAAGCTCTGAAACTTTCAGCATTTGTGTACTAATGAATGCGTGTTAAAATTGTTTCCAGGGCGGACAATCAGCTCCATGGCCTGGGGCACTGTCGCCATGCCCCACTTATTTTTTGTAACTTTTTTTTTTTTTTTTTTGCATTTGATAACATCAATTTGTATTCATCATTTGCTGTTCTTTGACGGATCAATGTTGTTCTGTCTGGTTTTTTTTTCAATTCAAAAGGTTTAAATTGTACAATAAAAATTCTGTTAAAATCATTATTTTAAATAAAAAAATGTTTTTAATCCATTTACTTAAAAATCAAAAATCTAATAGAAATGTACTTTCTTCAAACACTTTAAGAAAGATTCAAAACCAAATGGAACAAAAATATATCAAAAAAAAATTTTTGAAAACAATATTTTACAGAATTTTATAAAACATTTTTAAATTTGAATTAAAATCAATACGAATTACATCCATTAATACATAACATTTTATGTTGGATGTAAAACTGATTGGATTGATAAATTAAGTAATCAAAATTTAGCTCTATCATAATTACCTATCGTTGCACTTTTATATAATCTTTATTGTATGTCAAATATATTTCTATGCAGCAATATTGACAGGTGTAATTTTTCATAAAAAAAATTTTAGAAAAACATTTGTGTGGGTGTGTGTGTTTTAAAACTAGATATAAAATATTAAAAAAAGTGTTCATACTTTTCCAGTTGAAAACATATCCAAGCAAAAAGGTATCTTGTCTGGATATTAGTATAAGAATTTTTCTTTAACAAACTATATGCTCGATTAGTGTGTCCAGAGCGAAAATAACATGTAGCTAATAAATGCAACACCTCTTCACTGGAAACTAAAAAAAAATCTCAATTAATTATAAATAGTTATGCTACAGAAAAAGGTTTTTCTAATTAATTATAATTTAAACTAATTATAATAATAAACTAAAAAATATGACTAAAAATGTACTTATATACTTTATAAATAATAATTATAATTTAATAAATAAAAATGCAATAAAGCGATTTAATTTTAGGCTTTGAAATTCATTTTTCACCTAAACTAAAAAGTTTAAATTTAATTAAAAACAAATTTAACCTAAGAATTATGCATTTAAAAAATTAAATCTCCATCAATAACTATTGTACTTTAAGGTGCTGATGTAGACCTTGAATGATGTAGACCTTAAAAATCAACTCTAGTTAGTATT